GCCACAAGGCCATGGCCAGGCTGCAGGCAGGCCTTTCCCTTCTGTTCAAATGCGGCTTCCCCGAGCCTGACCTGATCCTCTCTCACCCTGAAGTGTCCAGGGAGGATGGGTCTCCTTGGCCCTTCCAGGAATCCAGCTGCCCACCTGCTTTCCTCTGGGTCCAGGGCCAGGCAAGAGATGCTGGCCAGTGGGCAACACAGTCCATCTTGTGTGGAGAAGCCCAGAAAGGGGCAGGACAGGTACCTCCGGAAATCCACAGAGAGTCCCTGCAGCCGGGCCAGGAGCCAAAGGCCTGACCCAAAAGGAAATGCCAAGGCCGCAGGGGGCCCATGGGGATGGCAGTGAAACTGGGCAGAAAAACAACAAGTCCAGAGGGCCCAGTGCCCTCGGAGGCGAGAGGTAAGGCCTGAGTCCAGGAAAACACAGGGAGTCGGCAACCTACACGTTCTTGTTTCCCAGCGAGCACAGGGCGCACAGGGTAGCCGTGAGTGCATGGGCTTCAAGGTCCGCCAGAAAGGACAACCATGACAGCTCCAACCGATGGATGGCTGCAGAGTCAAATGGGTCGAGCTCCAGCCCTGCCATTTACCAGCTCTGCAAAATCTCGGGCAAACTACTTCCACTCTTTCAGCCTCAGTTTCTCATCTACAAAATGGGCAGCATCGGTAGCCCCACCTCTTAGGGCTACGTGGTACAGAGGAGACAAGATCGTGTGCAGGAAGCTTTAGCTCCGCGTGTGGCTCAGGAAATGGCAGCCGGCACCATCGGCATCACCGAATCAGCCACTCAACCCCCCCACTGGCCTCTGTCCTGGCCCCTGTCAGCTGCCCGAATCAGATCCCGGGTTCAGAGATTCCATTTCCATATTGTGTGTTTTGTCATCATTTTCATGGCGACACTGAAAGTTGCCTTTCAGACACCACTCGTCCTTCTGTCCATCAAGACCCATCGCTTGTTCAACGGGAAGACTTCAGCACTCACCCTGTGCCTGCTGAGTTGTGAGAACACAACAGGGAACAAAATACCCCCCTCCCTCACCAAAAAAAAAACCCCTGCCCCCATGGAGCCATCCTGCAGGTGGGGAGCACACTTCCATACCGCTCTACCATCACGAGACCTCTGTCCGGGGAGAGGGCGGAGGGGGCTGCTTTCACTCTGCCCCATTTCAAGGGAAGGGGCCTCCCCCAGAATCACACACAGGCAGTGCCGAGGCCACTCTGCTTGGCTCCCCAGGTGGGGTCTGTGGAACATTCCAGAGACGGCTTGGAAACTATTCTCCCAAGAGCTGAGAGGCAAAGTTAGATCTCATAGCAGGCAAAGCTCTTACCCCAGTAAACATTCACAGAAGGGGATCATTCAAATGGAGCCGGCCACATGCCCCAGCGTGAACCAAAGTCTGAGGTCCTGAGCTTGGACCCCGAGTCCCCAGAGCATTCCTGGAGGGCAGCATAACGGCCAAACACTCGGCCTCCAGTTGGGGAGGCCCCGCTTCCAGTCTGGTGAATGAATGTGTACTACCTATATGGAACCCTGGCCACCTACCCTCCCTGAGCCTTGACTTCCCCACCTGTGTCCTGGGTAATGACAGTGTCTTCTTCCTAATGATGGGAGACCTAAATGGGACTGGGCATTTAGCTTGGTGCCTGGTACGCAGTACACACAGTCGTTATTATTACTATTATTATTATTATTTGTTGTTGTTGTTACCTGATATGTCCTGTTGAGGAAAGAGAAAGTGGCAGCAGCTGGCTGAGCACCTGGAGGTTCTCTCGCCCAGCAGCAGGACGGACGAGATCTCACTCCTTGGGTTCATTCAGCAGGGGGGCCTGACCCGAAATCACCCCATGGGCCTCGGCACAACACACACCCAGCAAAGCCAGCAACTCTGTTTACCCCACAGCAGCGTGGCCGCCTCCTCTGGGCAACCCCACCTACACAGGCCTCAAAGCCAGAGATGGACCCAGTGCCCCCATCAAGGTCACCTGGGACACCCATCAGCCTCAGCATCCTCACAGCCACCGGCCGGGCCCCAGTGCAGATGCAGAGAGGTGGGGCAGCTGGTCAGAGAAAGCTGGATCCAATCCAGAACTGCCTGACTACCCAGGTACAGAGCCCAATCAGCTCCCTCTGCCACCGAATCTAAACCAGAGTGACAACAGCAAATACACTTGGAATGGCCAGCGTGTGCCAGCCAGACTCAGCACCAGGTAAGTGTTAACTTACGTGCAGCTCGCAGACCCCTGCAAGGAAGCAGATTTGTTAGCTCTACTTTACTGATTAAGAAAGTGAGGCTCAGGACAGGCAGTAACCTGCCCGATGACACACAGCTAGTACATAACAGGCAAAACCCGAAACCAGCTCTCTGTGACTCAGAGCCCGAGCTCCTGGGCCCTCAAAGACCGGGTCTCCAGCTCTCACTTTACCCAGGACGCTCCTGCCTGGGCCGCTCACCAGCTGGGAAGTGGGGACAAGGACTGGCCCTGCCTCCTTCCCTCCCGCAGCTGGAGAAGAGAGCCCTGATGGGAGTGAGGTCACTTGGAGGCTGCAGCTCTGCCCGAATCTGGGCAATGATTCCAACTGTGCCTCAGGGGCCTCAAGTCAGGCAGCTCCTGTCTCTCTGGAGGCCAGGTAGACAGCCAGGCAAAGCCCAAGGCCACTTCAAGCCTGCGGGGGACCGCGGAGGAAACGCAGTGAGAAGAGGTGAAATGTCCTCCACTTGGAGATTTGTTTTTTCAAAAGCAACATGTGCTTAGTGACTACCTTCGGGAAGTTAAAAAAAAGAAAAAGAAAGAAAGAAAGAAAATCAAGAAGGAAAGGAGAGGGAAAGTGATCTGGATTGACTCTTCTCCCACAGGACTCCAAAGTGGAAATTCACCGACTGGAGAAGGAGCTGGAACTTAAGTAAACGGAGAGCTGGAGGGGAGAGAACAAAGCTGGGAGCAATGCGGAGACACCAGACAAGGAGTCAGGAGGCAGCCAGCATCTCAGTTTCTCCATCTGTGACATTAAGGGGCTGGAATGGAAGTCTCTTGGGACTCCTGCTATGATCATGTTCTGCAAGGGGCTCATGTCACAGGAATGCCCCACTAAGGGAACTCAGAAGTGATGCTTATTCACACCCGTTGGTGGTGAGACGTGGGCCTGGCAACCAGGCCCAGCCTAGGAGTCAGAGGCACTGGGCACACCATCTTCAGCCCCAACACAGGGGAAACATCCAAACTGACCAGGTGGCGGGAGCAGAAGCAAACATGATGTGGGTGTTTAGTGCTTCCCTCGACCAGCCTCACTTACTCCTCATAACGGTTAGAGGTAGGTATTATTTCCCTCTTACAGATGAGGAAACTGGGGCTCGGGGAGCTTCACAGGCAGCTCAAATCCACACTGGCCCACACTGAGCTATCCTGACACAGTACAGCAGCAGCTCGGGGCCACTGTGACAAAGCCTCGGTGTGGCACCAGCCAGACACACAATCTGGCTGCAGTCACCAGGTCCCCAGGATACACAGAGAGAAGGCGGGCAGAGACGGGACAGGCTCCTGCACCCCTCACCCTGAGGTCAGGGAATGAGGGTCTCCAGGAGGGTGGCCCAAGAGATCCGAGAGCCAGACTCCTTGTAGGGGTGCACTTGCTCGATGCCCACCCACATTGTTTCCCACCCCTGACCCTGCTCAGTGGCTTCCTGGTGTGGACAGCACTCCCCTCTCTCCATCAGTGAATTTATGCTCATTTGCTCAGCCAAGGCCCACCCTACAGGGACGTAATCCCTGGGAGATCACAACCATCTCGGGACTCCCCAGCCCAGGTGCAGAACCGCTGATTCATTTCAGGTCCCTAATCAGGTGGAGAGCCTGGCCCGAACTGCTGGCCTTGATTTGGCGGCAGGCCCAGCAGAAGCCCTCCTGGGGCCCACCCTCTCCAGCAGGCAGGTAAGTACCAGTCGGGACTCCTGATTTGAGTCCAGAACGGCCTTGGCTCCAGGGACCCAGGGCCACCATCTGCATCTCTCAGACCTCCAGCTGCCTGAGAATTCGCCACCGGATGCAGCTCACTCCAGGAAAGCCAAGGGAGGCTCACACACCCCTCCCCGACCGGTGCAGGCAGGATTTTAATTCAGGGCCCAGGCACCCAGGCCATAAGTCCCAGAGCCTAGACCCACCATTAAGGCTTCCCTTAGGAGAGGACTCCCTAAGCACCAGGTCCCCAAAGCCAGGCAGTGAGCTGCAAAGCTCCGAAAGGTGTCAGCTGTCATGGTCCCCAACCCCCAAATGCGTCATCCCATTTGCCGGAGACCCCAGAGGGAACAGATCTAAAGGTAACTGCCTTGATTAGGTGTCTGCTAGGTCTTACCCAAGAGTTCTTCAGTCTTCTAGGCAGGAAGCAGTGGCCCATCTTACAGATGAGAAAGCCAAAGCCTAGAAGACTGGGACTTACACGAGGACCCACGGCCAGGGCCCGGCCCAGAGCCCAACGCAGGCAGTCACCCCAACATTCTGACTTTCAGCCATTCGGCCGCCCTGCCTCAGACAGGCTCCCAGTAGAGAAGGGCAGAGTCCCCAACAACAGTCACAGAAGGGGAAAAGGAATGGTACTGGCAAGACAACCGGGCGATGGCACTGCGTGGTGGAACCCCAGAGAGCTATTTAATTCCCAGCCACAACCCCATGGAGTGGGGACTTTATTGTTTCCATTTTGCATATGAACAGACTGACTTTGGAGAGTTTATGTGACTCCTTCAAGCCGCACAGCTGGCAAGGGACAGAGCCAGGATCTGGAGCCAGGCCTGCTTTCTATTTCACAGGCTTGTGGGAAAAATAAAGGGAAAACCAACACGTTTTAGGGACTGACCTCTTCCTTCCGGCCCAGGGATCCTGAAATGTGTTCCTCCTTAGCCAAAGACCTGTCCTGAGCCCTCCTGGCCGCAGCACCACCCTTCCCCACACCTCCTGCCCAGTCTCTCCTCTTCTTCCAGCCGCCAAAGCAAAGGAACGAGGCTCACTTACTGTGTCTGCGGCGGTGCGGCCGCTGGATCTGGGTCTGCGGGAGAAGAGCAGAGGCAGCGCCTGTCAGGCCAGCGGCTGGCCTGAAGGGCTCAGCCTGTCCCCACCCCCTTTCCCAGCCTCCCTGGGGGAACCAGAGACAGGGCCTGGCCAGCCTGGGTGCCTGCTGCGTTCCTGCCTCCTTCTCCCCTATCATTAAACTCCCTTACCTGTCCTACCTGCCCTGCCCCTGCCCCCGCCCCCACCCACCACGGCCCACATCCCAGCTCCGACAAGAACCAGTTGGCCAGCTTGCTCTAGGCCTGTCCCCCCACCCCCAGCTCTTCAAGGAGCCCCTTGTCCCCAGCCCTACAGGAAGTTCCTGCTAGTCCAGTCCCCAATCCCTCCCAATGACAGAATCAAAGAGCCCAGAAGCTATGATTTAACACCGGCCTTATCAGGGCCCTCCTGCCCCCAGGGCAGACTGAAGGAGGAGCCTCTGAGAAGCTGCTGCTCTGGCTGGTGTGATTCCCTGGGAGAAGCTGCAGGGGGAGGGGGAGCTTCAGAGACACAAGCCCTGAGCAGCCACTGTCGCTGAAGCACAAGCGAGGGCCAGCCACGCCAATTTATGACATGCCAAAGTGCACCAGATGCTGCAGGAATGCTAGGAATCTCCAGTTCCCAAGGGGAGCAAAGGAATGCAGCTTCTTCTCAATGGCCTCTCTTCCCATCCTGCTTTCTGGGGACAGCAGAGGAGCCATGAGACATCACTGGGAGCCCAGAGCCTCCACGCAGCCCTAAGCTCCCTAGAGGCCCAGAGGCCCGGAGGCCCGGAAATGGGAAAACTCAGGCTCCCAGAACACCTTACCAGTGGCCGGGGCGGAGTCCAAGTGGATCAGTGGGGTGTCTGCCTCCTCTGGAGGAGCGCCTGGGACGCCCAGGCCAGCACTGGTGTCCTCATCATCGTCACTGTCGTCAAACTCAAAGGTCTCTCCGGGGTCGTCCTCCGCCTCGGGGGAGGGGCTTGGGCCTCCAGGAAGCAGCCGATCTCCTGGAAGGGAGGAGGAGTTAGCCAGCAGCAGGGTCTCAGAGTTTGGTCAAGAGAGGTGGCTGGGAAGTGGCGAGCAGCAAAGCTTCTGAGTGAGGGCGCGAGGGCAGGTCCCAAAGACAAGATTAAACCTACACCCAGGCCAGGAGGCCCTCCTGGGCCCCCGATGTGCCCAGGGAGTGGGTTGCAGCTCTTAGCAGGTAGGCAGACTGAGGGCAGGGAGCAATCTTCCAAGTGAGCGTGTCTGCATCTGCACTTGAATGTAAGAGTGTTCCGTTTTCTTGTTTTCTATTTTCCTATTTTATAAGCATGGGATTTTCTTTTAACGCATCTGCACACGTGCATGTGGGCACACACCTTCGTGTGTATTTCCACGTGTTCATTTCTGTCTGTACATTACAGGCTGGGTCTGCATGCTGTGCTTTATATGGTACAGGGGCCCCACACTCCCAGCATGGAGGTCTGCCCACCCTCCCTCCCTGCTCCCCTCTCCTGGGAGATCCCCTTCATGGCCAGATCTGCCTTGACCTCCCTCAAGCCTCGACTGGAGCAGAGGCCCCCTGCCCGCATCCCTTTTCTGTCTTAGCCTCTGGTTTTCTTCACCTGTTCCTGCACAATGTGTTAACAGCCTGGGGTATGTGGATGAGGAATGTCACCTGCCATATCAGTAAACAAAGGATGTTGCAGCCATCAGGTCATCAGCCACTGCAGCCCCGCCCCATCCCCCCACCCCTGCAACATGCACCCTGAGGGGACTCAGGATGGGAAAGAACAGGCTACTGGCCCCAGATAGCTAAGGTGCGTATCAAAGGAACGATTTCAATGAGTCCAGACTCTTGTATCTTCCCATACACAGAAAAGCACCAAACTCATTAACTTGAGGTGTCCATTTTCTTTAATTACCAGTAATCTTTTGATGTTCTGACTACCTGGATTTTGTTGCAAAAACTCCTTTATATCCTGGCTCCTCTCTGACCTCTTCAGAGCGGTCCCTCAGAGCTATCTGAGAGGCTGTCTCCTGGACTTAAGTCCTCAGTAAGTCTGTTAGATAAAACAGAATTCTCAATTTTCAGGTTATGCCTTTTTTTTTTTTCCAGTTGACAGGTAGAACTCAGAAACTTTCATTAAACAAGTGAAGAAATGGATTCTCTATGCTAAAAGGCATAACAGGCCCTCCCCTTCCAACCCATTTCACCAAGCTGCAGTCCCCCAGCCTCCTTCCCTAGGAGGCTTCTTTCCTAGAATCTGAGCCTGAACACCTCAAGTGTTCATTAAGCCCAACTTCCTACCTCATGCAAACCCGCTCCAAAACCCAAGGACAGTGTGGCCTGGTTTTCAGTCTGCAAAGCTGACCACACCTCCCTGGGCTGCCCTGAGCAATCATGTCACAGCTCACATCATACAATTTATAGCATGAGCTTTGGGCCCAGCTGGTCCTGTCTGAACTTTAGGTTTTTCCTCTGTAATCTGGAGAATAAAACAGCACCTTACTCATAAGGCTGGTGAGCACATGACCCAAGATGTGGGTCAGGGTTTCTCAGCCTCAGCACTTCTGACACTGGGGCTGCGCGGTCTCTGTGGTGAGGGCACTACAGGATGTGTACCCACGATGTACCCTCCAGCTATGACAACCAAAAATGTCTGCAGACATTGCCAGATGTCCCCTGGGGGACAAAACTGCCCCTAGTTGCGAACTGCTGGGGTAGATGGAGCACTTGGCATAGTGCCTGGTGTCTGTGTTACACAATGACATCTGCTGTTGTAATCACTGTCCCCTCCCAGCCCCAGATCCTCCAGGACAGGACTGTCTAGTCCACGTCTGTGGGCCCAGCCCCAGCAGGCGTACACAGATGGATAAATAAATAAGTGGGTGGGGAGGTGGATGGAGCAGAGAGACAGCTGGACACACCAACAGCTGGACAGATGGACATACCTGATTCTAGGAGTCTCTCTGATTGGAAAGATCCCATTCCTCCCCCACAGTGACCCGGGGCTTCCAGAGCAGAACATTTTAGCTGCAAATGTATCTAATTCAAGAAGCCCCTTCCTCAGCTGGTTGACTGCAGCAGAACCCAGAGCTTGCCCTCCGTCCCCAATTCCTCTGGCGGGTGACAACCAGATCAAGGCCACTGAGGTAGGGGTCCAGCCCCTCCTCCTGGGAGCTTCGGGGCCCCCACAGGCCGACATCGGCAGGGGTGGACTCCTCTGGGCAGTGATGTGGGCTGCGGTACAAGTTCCTTCCCCAGACGAGGATAAACAGACTCTGGCTAAGATGCACCCAATGTGGCTCCTTGTTTAAGCCTCACGACCACTCTCATTTTGTACGAGGCCACAGAGGTTTTGAGAGGTGAAGTGATGTACCCACAGGCATACAGCCAATATGTGGGGAGCTGGATTTGAACCCAGATTGGCCTTAGTTCCCATTCTATACTCTCCACTAAGCCCTACTGCCTCCTGGAAGTCACTTGAGCCCCTGAACTCTTGGGCCTGGATGGGGACACTTGGCTTCGTGATGATGAATTAACAAAGGAAATCCAGGAGTTGAGTCAGAAGCCAAATCAGCAGTTTTCAAATCACAGTTCTCATGAAATCAATTACAGGGCTCCCAGGCAGCATTTTGTTTTGTTTATGAATTGTTTACTTGAAATATTTTTAATGTTTTATTATAATAGTAATAAAGTCACATTTGGTATTACTTTTGATATTGTTTTCAACAATTCTGGTTTGGATCTGTAGAGCTTTATCTATACAGAATCAAACATGCATGTGTGTAGAATCTTCAACTGTTCTCCCCTTGCTGACTCTGTTCCAGTCACACCAGTCTCCTTGCAGGACTGTGAATGTGCCAGCTCTGCTCCTGCCTCAGGACCTTTGCATGTTCAGTTCAAGTCTCCGCCCTGTTCTCACCTCCTTCAGGTCTTTATCATATGTCATCTCCCAGCGAGGCTGTCACGGCCACAACTGCCCACAGTGACACCCTGAGGCCCCCTATTTGCCTTGCCTGCTTTATTTTTCCCTGTGGCCCTTATCAGCACGTGACACGTTGTATGTTTTATTTATTTTACTGGCTGTCTCCTCTGCTAGAACATAAGCTCCCTGAGGGTGGGCATTCTTGTCTGATTCACTCACGATCGTATCCCCAGCATATGGTACTGTGCCCAGCATATGGTAGGCACATAATAAGTATTTGTTGAACACACACACACACACACACACACGCACTCGTGTTGTCAGGACCATGCAGTTTTAAAAGTTTTAAAAATTCTGAAACAAGGGACAAAGTCCCTGCCCACTATTTCTGGGCTACCAGATACAGACCTATCCTGGCCAAGGGGTTTTCAGTGCCCGTGGTCCTGCCCACTTGAATCTGCGCAGCAGACAGTAAGGGAGGGTTCCCTTTGCCCATGGCCAGTATCAACAGAGTCACTACCGTGCCACAGTCAGACCACCTGGGTTCAGACTCCCAGTTTTCCCACTGACTGACTGTATGAGTGTCAAGTTAAATTCAGCCCTCCAAGCTGCCGTTTCCTGATCTGCAGAATGAGGACAATAATAGTAACTACCTCACAGGATTGTTGGGAGGATGGAGTGAATTAACACACATGAAAGCACCCAGTGCGAGGTCTGTGCTCACTAAATGTCAGCTCTCCTTACAGTGATGACTCTACTCATGGTCACTGTCATTGCATCATCATTATCTCCATCCTTATTACTATCATTATTGCCTTGAGTCACAGCCCAGCCCCTGACCCTGGGTAAGATGGAGAAGCCTTCCCTCTTCACGGGCCAGGCCCAGCCCCAGGCGACCCAGCCCCTCAGGCTGTGTCCAGGGACTTTGGGTACTTCTGCATAGCCTCTCTTTAAGAGTTCAAACAGCCTCAGTTAGCCCATCCATCAACACAGTCCTGCCTGCATCCAAGGAATTGTTCCCAGCAACCCCTGGGCCCGGAGGTCCAAGCAGAAGACATTGTCCCTTAATGGTAAGGAGCTCACTTTGGAGTAAGGCAGGCAGGTACAGCAAGAGGAAAACATAAAACCCCAGAGACTGAGCCGGTGCTGACAGACAGACTGGGGCTGATGCTCGCTGGGGCCTTGCCATGGCTTTGGGCACAAGGCTGCCCCTGCACAGGGCTTTCAAGGGCGAGCACCAGTCTGACAGGCTCAGGCTGGGGGAGGTATTCAAGGCTGAGGCCACAGCAGGAGCAGAGAACAAACAAGGAGCAGCGGGGTGGAAGGGAAGACATAAGCAAGGATGACGGGGTTAAAAGACAGCTGACGAGGCATTTGGGGGAATTTGAATTTATTTGTTAAGATGATGCGAAGCTCTCAAAGAATCAGAAAGTGGCAAAGAGCCCGGTTCAACCAGATGACACTAGCCCACAATATCAGATACACCTAGAACAATGAATGTTTGTCAAATGTTTGCTGAAGGGAACCGAATTGATTTCGTCATAAAATAACTTTACTCACAGTTTGCGTGTCTGGCCCCTTGCTGTGTGGGGGAAAGGGTGCAGGGTGCCTATGACAGCAGGGGCAGTGCGCTGGGGGCATCCTGGGACCCACAGCCACAGCCGTGACTCAGGAAATGCCCTGATCCCCAAGGCTCTGTTCCCAGGATCCGGTGACCCGGGCAATTAGACAGGGCTCCTTATCAGAAGGAAAACTCGGGAGGCCCATCCCTGGATAATTGAGAGCCAAACTGAGCCGTTCCCACCCATCTAGACAGGTGGCAGCAGGGGAGCTGAGCACACATGCTGTTCCCGGACACACCCCATCCTCGGGAGAGCCAACCCCAGCGAGGCCAGGAGGCCAGGACCCAGGAGGCCACCCTATGCTATGGAGAAGGTGGGCCCACCATGCTGGCCCCCCACTCGTGGCAGAATAACACAGAGGCTCAGCGGGGAAGAGCCTCCTCTTGGGCTCAAAGCAGAGTGCATAAAGCCCCTCCCACCAACACCCCAGTGATAACAGCTCCCGCGCCGAGTGATTTGCTACCACACGCCAGGGCCCCGCTTGTATTTAAACCTTGCAACAACACGAGAGGGCGTGTCATCAGCCCCATGTTTTGTAGGTGATGAAACTGAGCCAGAGAGACACCAAGTCACTCAGCTGAGCTCACGGGGGCAGTGGCGGGCTGGGCTGGAGGAACAGCCCTTGCTCGATGCCATTCTGCTACCTGCTGCCCCCAGAAAAGAACAAGAGGACAACAGAGACACGAAACCACGTGTCCCCTTGCCTCCTCGCTACTCTCTCTTCCATAATCGCATTTCTTCCGGCGGCCTGCCGCCACGTTATTGATAACTCTGCTGTTGTACAGTTTATCACCATTACTCTACCCAACTGCAGTGAGCAAAGTTAAATGTTAGACGGACTCTCTTCAGGAGCCCAGGGCTTGGGGAGGTGGGCATTTCTGCGTACTGCTGGCAGAGTATAATTTGGCAACGTGCGTAAAGAGCCCTGAAATGTTGATGAAATGTAGCAGTCAGCACTCCTAAGACTCTCTTCTATGAGAATAATCAGAGTGAGCTATGAGGGTAGTCATTTCAATGCTATGTATGACAGTGAAAAAGTTAGAAATAATCTGATTGTTAACATTAATGAGGGCTGCACAAATCTTGATGAATCCAAAAGATGGCAAACTGTGCAGCCACTAAAACAAAAATGTTTTCAAATAATATTTGGTGACATAGGGGAATGTCTCACGATATCTCGTTAAATATAAAAAGGAGAACCCATAACTAAACTAATAGTAGCTTAATAGTAGTCAGCTTTGGGGAGCAGAATTATGGCTTACTCTTATTTTCTTATATGTATTAGTATTTTTCAATTTTTCTATGACCATATATTGCTTTCACGATCAAGGTAAAGACAACCAATAAATGTTATTTTAAAAGGGAAAAAAAGAAAGAACAAGAGGACGAGAAGCTGGGCCCAGTGAGAGAGGCGGCCTTGAGGGTGAGGCCTCGATTCTACCTGCAGCGTCCGAGGCCCCACTGTTAGGGTGGCCAGATAAAAATACAGGACATCAATTTGAATTTCAGATAAAAGACAGATCGTTTTTTTAGCATAAGTATGGGGAAGGGTTGGCTTTTGGCTTTTGAGTTTTTTGGTTGTTGTTTTTTGTTTTGTTTTTATTCTTTGCTAACTCTGGCAACACCATCACTGCTAGATGACCTGACCTTGGCACCTTAGCAGGTGGTGATGGACAGCCCAGCCCCTTCCCCTCGGCCCCAGCTCCCTACTCTCAATTCATAAGCTTTACCCTCAAGCCCACCTCAGTCCCCAGAGTGGCTCTGCTCATCTCCTAGGGAGACACCTGCAGAATCAACACTTGCCCGGAGCCTGTGCTGTAAGGAGGAAATTATTATTTCCCTGTTGTAGACAGGGACCCTGAGTTGGGGGAGGAAGGGTGAGGTCACTTGCCCAAGGGCACACAGCTCACCACCAGCAGGGCCGGATTCACACCCAGGGTCCACCTGCTCCAAAGCCAGTGGCCCTCTGCCAGCCCCCATGTTCACAGCCCGTTCAGTGGTGAGCTGAGCAGGAACCCGGGTACCGTACCTATGGCAGCCTGTGGAGGACGGGAGGAAGCCATCGACAAGGTGCAGCTCAGACCCGCACCGTCCCAGCCGCTCGCCTGTGGAAAGAAGGCCGGAAGTCTAATTAGATGGTGTTCAAGGCCGAAGTTTCCAGCCACAGAAAGGGGTCACTGGCTCGCGACCTGCCCGCCAGCTCTCACACAGCTTTGGGAGCACACGACAGTTCCAGAAAGGGCCCAGCCCCCACCCTCATAAATCATTAACCCGGAGAAAAACCAGCAGCTGCAGAACTATAACCCATCTCCCCTGAAGGCCCCTGCCGCCACGGACCTTCCTCTGCCCAATGCCAAGGATCCTCAGGAGCCTGGTGGGTCCAGCGAGAATTACAGGTGGGTCCCCTAAGTCTCAGGTGAAGCTCCAGCCTCAGGGGCCAGGATCAGGCTCAGCCCCCGGGGTTCCAGAGGCTGGATCACACGTGGCCAGGACATTTCCTCCTCCTGGTTGCCCAGCAACCACAGGTGCCCTCAGGTCCAGCCCCTCTCACTGCCCCCTACCCCCACAGTCCCACTGAAGGCCAATCACTCCTTGTCTCTCCCTGTGCTGCCCACACAAGGTTGGCCAGCTGGGAAGGGGCCACCGGGCCATGGCACATGGGTGTGAGGGAGGAACAGAGCAGCAGAGAGGCAGATGGCTTGAGATGGGGGCAGAAGACCAAATGCTCAGAGCAGCCTCTCCTGGCCTCGCAGTTGAGGCTCCCGCAACCAAGAGGCCAGTGCCTCCACTGGGCTTCCTGGGCCCTGGGGCCAACCTTGCCAGATGTCCCCTGCCGAGCAGTGAGGGAAAGGGTTCTCCCTACTCCCTATTCACACCCCAATTCTGAGCGAGAGGCGGTCCTGATAGATTTCCCCGGGAAGGAGAGAAAGCACAGAGACCTCCTTTCTAATCAGCCCCTACCACAAACTGCTACGCACCTGTTTTCCTTTTCAATTCTAAAGCCTTTATTTTTATTAGCTGGCTTCCTCAATAAAAACAGAATGCATGTAAGTGGCAGTTAATTAATAACAGCAAACATCCATGCAGTGCCTCCTGTATCTCAGACACTATTCTAAGTACTTTAGAAACATGAACATCTATTAATCCAAATTATGAGAAAGTGAGGCCCAGAGTGGTTAAGTAAATGGCCTGAGATCACACAGCTAGCAAGCGGCAAAGCCAGGGTATGAACTCAGGCCATGGGCCCCAGTGTGTGCTCATTAAGTAACCACTGTGCTCTGCTGTCTCTCAAATTCCAAACAATACAAAGGGTGTACAACAAAAAGTAAGTCTCCCAAATCCCCCAAGAGTGACCACCATTACTGGTTTCTTATCAATCTTTCCAGAACTATGTCATGTATGTCCCGGCTTGTATACCTGTATATCCACCTTGTTCTATACAGGAGGAAGCACCCTCCACCCACTGTGCTGTAACCACCTTTTTTTGCTTAAGAATCTCCATGGTCTGTGGGGTGGGAATAGCTCAGTGGTAGAGTGCATGGTTCAATCCCCAGTATGTCCATCAAAAACAAACAATCTCTGTGATCATTTCAGAACAGTACTTAGAAATTAATCTCACTTTTTAATGGCTGCATAATATTCTGGGGAGTAGGCTATACCGTAACTGACATCATCCCTATCAGCACACTGAGGTTGTTTCCGGGCTTTGGTGTTATAAACCATCCTCCATTCACAGGGCCTTGAGCGAATGGATGCTTGAACCTGTGAGGTACATTCCTAGACAAGCTGGGTAATTGAGAGAATTACATTCTTCACTTTCACTGAATGCAAAATTGCTCTCCACTAAGTATGTGGCTGTGCCTTTTAGCCTCACACCAAAAACCCTCAGCAAAGGGTTGAGGAAAGCAAACTAAAATGTCTGCAAATCCCTTTGCAGGCTGAAAAATCAAACAGCAGCTGCACAGCAGTTCCTCTGCAGGTCCGTCCTCCCTGTGGGCTCACTCAGAAACACTTCAGAAGGAGCAAGGAGACTTATACCCATTTTGCAGGAAGAAAAAAGGAGGCACCAAGCCCAGGTTTCTGTGCAACCTGCTCCTTAAACACAATTTTCTGATCATGCAGAAACCCAGCATCCTTCCCTTTAGGCCAGAAAGTCCAATGTCCTCCTGTTTTTCCTCATCTTCAGGGATAATTCCTGCCCTCACCTCCAAGCCCAAAGCTTTCCCCAGAAAGGAAGAGAGATACGAATACTTACAGAGTCAGAAGCTTTATTTGTATTATTATTATTATTATTATTATTATTATTATTATTATTAATTAGTAAATGAGGAAACCAAGGCTTAGAGAAGTAACGATTTGCCCAAGGTCACAGAGGCAAGGGAATAAGTTGACAACACTAGGGTTCAATCTGGGAGCATTGACCTCAAACCCTAGTCTCACTCCTTTAATCACACGGCCTCTCTGGACTTCAGGGATGGAATCTGGGAGGCATCTGCTGCAGACTTATCTGGGGCAGTGAGGTCTCCAGGCAAGGACACAGGCCAGCAAGCCCCATGCACACCCACAGGTCTGTGGCCACTGTTTTGTACACATACACCCCACGTCTCAGAAGGATATGAGAGAGGGAGTAGGGATGGCTCAGAGCAGCCCAATGCCCCTGCTAGAGAGCCCAATGGCACAACAGTGAGGAAAGAGTTCAGGGCTACCTGATACCACCTAGGTCCCACCACTCAGTAGCTATAATACCTTG